TTCATATTTAACACATCACATTATTATGACAAGATGTGTTGTGAAGATGGGATATATCGGTCCACTTCTTCTGGTACCTCCCCCACAAAGGGTCAAAATTTTGAATAATCATGAAGCTCATAAAACGCGAAATTACCATCCGATTTCATTCAGACTTGGCAATTCTCAATATTTCTATTAACAAAATATCTATTATAAACATGATATAGATTGGTACCTTCTGGTACCTCCCCCACAAAGGATCAAATCGTTGAGCAATCAAAACGGTTATTATATCCGAAATAAACATCCTATTCTCTTCATATTTCACACATCACATTATTTCTACTAACACAAGATCTGTTGTGAAGATGAAATATATGGGTACACTCTTTCCGGTTCCTCCCTCACATAGAGTTTAAGATTAAAAAAACACTCAATGAATGGGAAATAAGCATCCAACTCTCCACAAATTTGACACAAGATCTGTTGTAAAGATGAAATATATCTGCGATACTCTTCTGGTGCCTCACTCACAGGGTTACAATTTTTAATACTTTTATCTGTAATAACTTGCGAAACAAGTCAGAGACAACAACTTAAAACTTGCTATATCTAAATATTTTTATATACCAGAAATCTGATATGAATATGGAGTTAATCGGAATTTATGATTTTGCATAAAATCGCATAAAAATGTTCGATTTTCCATTATTGCAATTATTGTCCAAAATTAATGTAAAGGGACAAATTCGGCTTAAGTTCGTCGAATCTGGAAGTCTTATTAATATAAAAAGAACATAGCTCTCAAAAGTTAGGAAATTAAACTGAGAGAGTTTTCCTCGGTCAAAAAGTGAGAAAATTATGCAAAGAAGGGACAATATATACAGTTGAGTGTTACTTATTTTTAAACTTATTTTCTAATATTACCATTATATCAAATAAATTGAGATTAAATATTATTTCAATAACCATAAAAATTACTCTAATGTACACTACCAAAACATTATTACAATTCTTCCAACAACAATTCTAAATTATCCCCTATAATAACAATAATAAACAATTAATTATTGAAAGTATTTTAAACAACAGGACACTTATTCCGCTGCTACATAACAACCACACTCATTCACATATTGTCATAATATGAGCGAGTAATTGTTATGAAGTCATAAGGAAGCGCCATTAAAAGCCCTACAATTATTTGCTTTCCTTAAATTGAAATGAAGAAAAAAAAAAAAAAAACATGCGAACATAATGGACTTCTTTACTATTTTTCCCTCCGATAATAATTTCGAACATAAAAATTAGTAAGAAATACATCAAAGTGTTCGAATGTCATTGAGCGAACCCATTATTGTTAGGATTTTTTATTGGAAATTAAACAGCATGGAACCCGATGGCGAATAACCATTTCCAATGACGGCGGCAGCAACGCGGTGTGCAATTGATGAAATGTTTGTTTTGTTGGCATACATTCCACGCCAAGGAATCGAGAGAGATGTTGATATTTTTGATGACAAAGAAACGAAAAAAAAAAAAAAAAATATTTTCTCAATTTGATGGAAGTTTTCATATCATTACAGAAATATCTAAGTACTTAAGATGTTATGTCAGCCAATATTGAGAGGTACATTTAACGAAGGGGGTTCCCTTTAAGGATCACATAAATGTAATTTCGAAATATTGCAAGTAATTAATATAGGTTTATTGCTGACTCTTTTCTTCTTTGAAATGTGGCAAAGCATAGTGGTTCCGAATCGTTTTTTCTACAATTTTTATAACCTACACCACATAGTGGTAAAGGTATTATGTCTATATGCATTTGTTTGTAACATGGAGAAGAAAACGAGATAGACCCATAGTTCCTTTTGGGGATCAGCATAGCATCCCATTCTAAGTCGATTTATGCATGTCCGTCCGTCCGTCTGTCTGTTCTTCCGTCTGTCCATGTATTGTTGTAAACAAAATGCAGGTCGCAATTATCATTCGATTGAGATGAAAATTTGCACAAGTCATTTGTTTGGCCCAAGGACGAACTCTATTGAAATTGGAGATAATCGGTTAAAATTTAGGTGTAACTCTCATACATATTCGTTCGATTTGCCTTTTTTGTGCACCAAACGTGTAATATCATCTCAAGTAGTATGGAATTTTGCACATACAATCAAATTAGGCCTGAAAAAAAGAATGCCAAATTTGATCGAAATCGGTTCAGATATAGCTATAGATCCCATATATATTGTTCAACCGATTTTTTATTTTTGTCCTCCGCAGCCGTAATATGCACTCTGGAACAACAATATTTGGGGAAATATATCAAATACAGCTCAGAAATAACTTTGCTAATTTTTATCCAGATCGGGACAGAATTGCGTATAGCTTCCACGTAAAACTTCATCCGATTTGCACCACATCAAACGTGTAATATTAGACCAAATGGGATGGAATTTGGCATTTTCGACCGAATTTAGTCTAGAAGCTAGTATGTCAAATTTGTTGAAGATCGGTTCAGATATAGCTATAGCTCCCACATATACTGTTCATCCGATTTGTTATATTTGTTCCCCAGAGCCGTAATATGCACTCCGTAACAACGATATTCAGGGATTTTTCTGATAATTTTTAGTCTTGACAAAAAATTCATCTTTTGTGGTTGAAAAATTGTCTTATCCCATTATTGTTGTTTTAATAGAAACAACGTCTATTTTTTAGTGGATTACAAGTGATGATGTTAACAAGGGGTAAAGCAGGGAATACCATCTTTTCGGAAATAGCCACAAATCCTCTTTGCCGGGGGATTCTCTTCCAAGGAGTTATTCAAATGATACATTGAGAGCCATAGCTATATCTGAACCGATTGCCACCAAATTTGACATACTTATTACTAGGATGAATCGAATTTGCCAAATTTCATCCTATTTGGGCTAACATTACCAATTTGGTCCACAATAAAAGGCAAATCAGACGAAGATATGTATGTTAGCTATATCTGAATTTTGTCCGATTATCTCCAATTTTTATAGGGTTCGTCCTTGGACCAAAATGTCTTCTCGATGGGGCAATAGATGCGTCCTGCACTATAGTTCTATCTCGCTCGATTGCCTATGTTACTAACAAATGCACAAGGACGAAATACAGAGTGAGATAAAAAAAACTGCAACAAAATCAAACGCCATAATTTTTACATTTTTTTTTGTTTCAAATTTTATTGAATGAAAGCGAAAATTATCGGAAATAGCATCAACTTTTAGAATATGTGTAGATTTTTCGAATTGGTCACTTTTGACACAAATTATGGCCTTTAAACGGCCAATGAAACCGTCACACGCTGCACGAATGTAGCTCTGCGGTATTTTGGCCCATTCCCGGCGAAGCACTTGCTTGAGGTGATCGACACTTTTGTATTTTTTAGTGCCAACCTTGCCTTCCAAAATACTCCAGACACAATAGTCCAACAGATTGGTATCCGGAGATTTTGGCGGTCATTGTGCGTTAAAATAAAACGAGGAACCTCATTTTTCAACCATTCTTGGGTGGCGCGTGCTGAGTGCGATGGTCCTGAGTTCTGTTGGAGTCTCCAAGGTCTGCGGCCAAAATGTTTGCGTGCCCAAGGCTTTAATACACCTTCCAGAATATTTTCGCGATAATATTCAGTATTTATTCTGATGCCACGGTCGATTAAAACAAGCGAAGAGCGACCATCGGCTTTTATGGGGCCCACACCGTCACCATGGACGGCGCTTGAGTTCTGGTGGCCAACCGAAAGTGCACATTTTCAGCTGACTTCTTTGGCAAGTAAACACAATCGTTTTGGTTGTTTACAAACTGCTGGACAACGACTGTTTTCTCATCGGAGACGAAGAAAACCAAATTCGGCAGATCACCACTTCCGGCCAAGCGAAGCAACTCTTTAACTCTTTTGAGTCTATTTTCTTTCTGTTGCGGTGAAAGTTCTCATTTTTCAATATTTGCCGAATTGAATATTGCGATATGTTCAGCTCACGAGCCATTTTTCGGAAACTGCGACGCGGGTTTCGATCAAGTTGCTTCTTTACTTTTCGAACCATTTCCAGCCAAATATAAAGAAATCACACTATCACGCTTGAATTCCATCACGAATAACTTTTTTTCTGGAAAATTCACACCAAAATGCTTTTGTACCTTTGTAAACAATATAATGAGCTGTCACTGGAATAATTTTAAAAGCTGTCGGACGAGTGGTTTAGAAATGACAGCAGTCTGAAGTTGATTGCAGTTTTTTCATCTCACCCTGTGTATTTTAATATTTTTTAAAAGCTATCGCATATCTAATATAAAGTGAAGGAAGTTATCAATATCGTTCAAAGCTGGCACCTTGCAATATTAATATCATATATATTTAGGACCAATACGAAATGGACAATACTGGCTCATTCCTTCGGAACCTATTCAATAGAAAGTCAACCGACTGACACTTTTTTTGCGAGAAGAATTTCTACCATATGTAATAATTGAGGCAGAAACTTTAGAATATCGAGAATCTTTTGGCAGTGACGATCTCGCAGCCAATTCGGGATTTAATCTTACTTGCAAAATCTTCAAAAAATGTCAGAGAAGTCATTTCGGGGTGGATATTTTTTTTTTGATTTTTAAAAAATTTCTAAAAAAAAATTAATTTTTAACAAAAAATCCTAATTTTTCATAAAAAAAAAAAAATTAATAAAATCTCGTTTACAATTTTTTTTAAAAATATCAAAAAAGAATTAAAGAAAATAACGTAGTTACATCATTTGGTTGAAAACTTCAATATATTGAAATATTTTAATATTAATCAGATCAAAAAGTAAAATTCGCCTCAATTGGAGCGGGATCACTCCTGAACTGAGTAAGAAAAAAATGAACATATTCTATTTTTCGAGGTCACAAAATTAGACATGCCACAAATATATTTAGGTACTGTAAATTTGGGCAAAATTGATTTTTAATCAAGTAGGCATTGTATTGTTTGTTAAATACAAAAAATGTATATATTTTTGGAATCCTAAATTTGAGAAATTATTTTTTTTTATATTCCTTTTAAAAAGTTTCAATACCTAAAAATATATGTAACTTAGGAGCCGCAGCATTATCATATTACGAAATCGTAAAAAGCAATTGCAACGTGATGAAGGCTAATGCAAAATGCACCTGAATACATAAAGTTTCTTCAGATGGAACGATATTAAATTATTTTTTCGAATCGACGACACATTTCGGGGATATGTCTGACAATACGAGCTGAATTAACTCTCGAATTCTTTAGAAGAAATCCTCAAATTGATCATCATTGGCAAGCTCTTACATAAGAATACCTCCAATATTTTCAAAGCTTGAAGAACAACATTGACACGTAAGTATATTAACTATTATTAGCCAGTTTTGTGCAGAAAGGGCATGAGAAGCCCTCTAGTACAAAAATAATTTTCTAATAAAAAGTCAATTGTCTTAACTATTTGGGGTGCCCGAAAGAGTAGCGGGGTAAAGTCTATACCAAAAATTTTAACTAATTTCGGAACAAGTTTTTGTGGCAATATCAGAGAGGTCATGATTAGTCAAGCTTATCGAAAAAATGCGATGGTTTGTATATTTGGTTTCGAATCGGGGATTTATGGCATGACTGCCTTCACAGAAATTACGTGAAGCCCAACCTTTCACAGAGATACGTGGTCTGAAACCTTAACAGTGATGAAAGGGGGTTTGGAATTGAATTACCTCTGCTCCATTACAAGAATTCAGAATATTTGCCATTAAAAAATAAATAAAATAAAATATTAAAACAATTGTAACATTTCTAGATAAACTTCAGAAAAAAAATTTTTTTAATGAAAGTGGTAAAATCTGAATCTGAATCTGATTGAGCAATGGGTAAAATATTAAGAATTGTCATTAGATGTTAATACCAATGTTAACTTTATCTTCCCATATTTTTAACTACTCAAACCAAGACAAAATTAGAATCATTCGTTTTAATCCACAGCTTTTGGCAATGGCTATGGTTGCGTGTGCCAAAGTAGAATACTCCAACACTCATCTCCTTTGAAGGTCACATAGTAGTCTTCTTCTTTGCTTTGCGCCAATACAATTAATCTAAATTCGGACAACAAACATCAACAGAAAGAACGAACGAAAAAAAAAAATTAAAATTATAACAAAACAATCCCAAAAAAGTAAGTCAACACAAAAATAACTTAGCCGAACGAATGCCAACAAATGAAGAACACCGGCGGGTCAAATGCAAGACTTGAAATAAAATTAATATTCGCAACGGAAACAAACTTTGTTACAAAAAGGATGTTTGCTTGAGTTACTTTTTACAAGAATTTTAATTAATTTTTTCTCCGTTTTTTTCAATGTTGAAATTATGAAATTAGATTTAGATATGAGGAATCTTTTGGGTGTTGGTGTTAAAACCAATGCGCATTTTTGAGGCTTTAATAACTTTTTTTGTGGGTGGTTTAATCTAATGGACAAGATTGTAATGTTAACAAAAACAAATAAAATAGTATCAGTCGGTTTTGCCGACAGATGTATACCCTCACCCTTGAGTTACGAACGTGACAGATTTGGACTATATCGACTACTTCTTGTACTTTATATGTGGTATGTGCACCTTTTCGGAAAATGGAAATATGCGTCAGGTAACAGATACAGCGGACCGAAGTATTCCATTTTCACACTTCATCTAATACAGATAAAATACATCATCCTACTTTGAATAGAATCGGATGATAATTTTGCGTTTTATGAACTTCATGGATACTCATAATTTTGACGTTTTGTGGGGGAGGTACCAGAAGGAGTGGACCGATATATCCCATCTTCACACCAGATCTTGAGTTAGTAGAAATAATGGGACGTGTGTAATATGAAGAGAACTGGATGTTTATTTCGGATTCTTTGGAATGGAATCGTGTTCAAGTGTTTTAAGAGCGTGATGAATATTCAAAATTTCGACCTTTTGTGGGGGAGGTACTTGATGGAGTGGACCTATGTTATCCATTTTTGCACCTGACCTAGAACTGATGTAAATATCAGGATTTGCAAAGTTGGAACAAAATCGGATTATCGATTCTCTTTCTGTGCAGAAAATATTTTTTTTATATATTTTTTTTATATATTTTATTTTTTTGAAAATCTTGATCATTTGTGTGGGAGGTACCAGAAGGAGTGGACCGATATATTCCATCTTAACACCAGACCTTGGGTTAATATAAATATTAAGATGTGTGAAATTTGAAGACAATCGGACTCTTACATCACATTTTATGAGAGTTGTAATTATTTAAAATTTCGACCCTTTGTGGGGGAGGTACCAGAAGGAGTGGACCGATATTGTCCATTTTTACACTTGACCTAGCACTTACGCAAATATTGAGATTTGCAAAGTTTGAGCAAAATCGGATTATCGTTTCTCTTTCTGTGCCCAAAATATATATTTGTTAAAATTTCGACCATTTGTGGGGGAGGTACCAGAAGGAATGGACCGATATATTCCATCTTAACATCAGACCTTGGGCTAACATAAATATTGGCATGTGTGAAATTTGAAGACAATCGGACTGTTACATCACATATTATGAGAGTTGTAATTATTCAAAATTTTGACCATTTGTGGGGGAGGTACTTGATGGAGTGGACCGATATTGTCCATTTTCACACTTGACCTAACACTGACGCAAATATTAAGATTTGCAAAGTTGGGGCAAAATCGGATTATCGCTTCTCTTTCTGTGCAAAAAATAAATTTTTTGAAAATTTCGACCTTTTGTGGGGGAGGTACCAGAAGGAGTGGACCGATATTGCCCATCTCCGAACTCGATCTAAGTTTGACAAAAATATTACGATGTATCAAGTTTGGACCAAATCGGATACTCCCTTCAAGAGTTATCGTGCGCACCAGCCAGCCAGACAGACAGACAGGCAGACAGACGGACGGACGGACGGACATCGCTAGATCGACTCCAAATGTTCTGAAACGGATTTGGTCCAAAGAGACCTAGGGTCTAAAACCGTTATTTCGACTAGGCACGTTTTGACCGTATCAAATGATATATACCCTCTGTAGCCATATGGCTGAGGGTATAATAACACCACAAAGCCACGTTTGTAGATATGCTCAGTTTAAAGGAGAATAATGTATTATGAAAATAATTCATACATAATATTTTGAAGCATGTGTAAGGTTTCGTTTCAAGATTTACTAAAAGCCAGTCTTAGTCTTATAACTGCCATCAATTGGTCCAAACTTGACACATCGTAAAATATTTATCAAATTAATTTTGAGCTCACTTGTGGATTATATCGTCCACTTCCTTCTGGACGGTATATCCCTTAGATCAAACTTAGCACATGGAAAATGGATACCACTAAAAATATATATGATAACAAGTTAGGAAGTATCAGTGGGTTTTTCGACCAGATGTATACCCTAAGCCAATGTTCGATTATATATTAATATTTTAAAGAAATGGTCCGATCTCCACCATCTTTTTAACAGATCTTGTGTTGAGATGTGTCAAGTCTGAATAGCATCGGATGTTAATTTCACGTTTTATGAGCTTCATGATTATTCAAAATGTTGACCCCTTTGTGGGGAGGTACCAGAAGGAATGCTTCGATCTTTACCATCTTTATAACAGATCTTATATTGATAAAAATATTGAGATGAGCCAAGCGTAAATGGAATTAGAAGTTAATTTGGCGTTTTATGAGTTTCATGGATATTGAAAATGTTGACCCTTTGTGGGGAGGTACAAAAGGAGTGGACCGATATATTCCATCTTCCATCCATTTCATCATGGGTCAATATAAATATTGTGATGTGTGTTTTTATCTTTAAGACAATCGGTCTCTTACATCATATTTTAAAAGAGTTATAATTATTCAAAACTTGACCCTTTGAGGGGGTATTGTCCAGTTTCGTGCCTGACAGCACTTATGAAAATATTAGGATTGACAAAGTTGTAGTACAATCGGATCATCCTTTCTCTTTCTCTGCAGTAAAATATAATTTTTCGACCTTTCGTGGGCGAGGTATCAAATAGAGTGGACCGATATTTCCCATCTCCGAACTAGATCTAAGTTTGATAATAATATTACGATTACGATTCGGACCAAATCGGATAGTCTCTGCGGGAGTTATAGTGCGCACCAGCCAGGCAGACGTACGGACATCGCTAGATCGAGTCCAAAGGGAGAAAATTTTTTTATTCGCAGATCAATATTTAATTTTATGACCCTTTCTAAAAATTAGGCCCTTAATTTTATTTTTATAATAAACATATTCAGTCGGAACATTTTATATCTACGAAGATACCAAAATACTAATTTTCCGCCAAATCGATTGGAATCGATGGTCAAGACCCTCACAATTATTTGAATCAGGGATATCTTTACAGGGTAAGATAAACAAAACCTAAAACAAAGTTAAACGCCATAATTATTTTTTTTTTTTTTTTAATGAAAGCAAAAAATTTCAGTAAAAGCATCACATTTTAAAATAACTTTAGATTTTTTAGAATTGGTCACCTTTGGTACGAATTATGGCCCTCAAACGGCCAATGAATCCGTCACACGCTGCCTAAATGTTGCTCTATGGTATTTTGGGCCATTCCCGACGAAGCGCTTGCTTGAGGTGATCGACACTTTAGTATTTTTAGAGCCAATGTTGCTTTCCAAAATATTCCAGACACAATAGTCCAACGGATTGGTATACGGAGATTTTGGTGGCCTTTGTGCACTGGAAATGAAGCAGGAACTTCATTTTGTAACCATTCTTGGGTGGCACGCGCTGATTACGATGGTGCTGAGTCCTGTTGGAATGTCCAAGGCCTGCGGGCAAAATATTTGCGTGCCCAAGGCTTTAATACTCCCTCCAGAATATTTTCGCGTCGATTAAAACAAGCTGAGAGCGACCATCGGCTGTCATGACCAGCCCACACCATCACCATGGCCGGCGTATGAGTTCTGGTGGCCAATCGAAGGTGCACATTTTCAGCTGACATCTTTGGCTCTTTGGCGAGTAAACACGATCATTTTGTTTGTTTACAAACTGCTGGACAACGAAAGTTTTCTCATCGGAGAAAACCCAATTCGATAGTTCACCACTTTCGGCCGAGCGAGGCAACTCTTTAGCTCTTTTGAGTCTATTTTCTTTCTGTTGGTGTGTAAGTTCTTCCACTTTTTGCAATTTCAATGGCTTTACCCCGAGCTCATTTTTCGATATTTGCCGAATTAAATATTGCGATATGTTCAGCCCACGAGCCATTTTTCGGCCAGTGCGACGCGGGTTTCGATCAAGTCGCTTCTAAACTTTTCGAACAATTTCTGCTGATTTTGCTGTTTTCTTAC